AAGTTCTAGTTTTGGAAATGGACATGTTTTCATTTATGTACAGAACTAGCAGAGAAATAAATCCAAGTATTTATACATAAAATCTAAAAAACTTCATGCAAATAACTAAGATAACACACATGTATAATACTCGTCACCAACAGCCAAAGGAAAGCAACTTACCAAAAGCAACTAGTACAACTCCAGCTATATGCAAAGCAATTTCTTCTAAAATTAAAAGCAAAAGAGGGTTTCTTTAAATAATTAACTGCATGCCTCCCACAGCAAAACAAGCTTGCACCTCTTAGCCTATAGCAAGTTATTTTCAACAAACACTCTTCCCAGTCCTGTTGTCTACAAGACACTTATTCACCTCTCTTTCTAAAACCTAATAAAGTGGTTTAAATATTAACGTTCTCCATACTGGAAAGCTCACAAGCAAAATGATCAGCCTACAGAAGAACTCTGGCTTTGTAAATTGAGAGGTCAATGGCTTTTTTGTAATTTGAGAGAAATGTTAAACTTCTACAATTTTGATATGATAACAAGTAGTCATATCATTCAGTATGTACAAAATGTGACTAAATAATAGTTGACTTGGGAAGTTTTTCTTAAAAATGTCTTTACTCGTGTTTTAAATTTACAAGCAATGTTAATGCCATTTTTGATGAGTGCCCTCTGCAGAAAGAGTAGAGAAAATAAGGAACGCTTGAATGTAATGAATGAACTAATTGCAAATGTTAATGTCCAACTGACTCCCTTACATGACTTTGGTGAAAAACATGTTTTGTTTATGAATATGTTTTATAGGACAAACTACATAGCTGGAGAGAGAGTGAGAAAATGAGACATCAAATCACCAGTGGGAAAGCATTTGTTCCTGCACAACCACTCTGCCTCTGACCTCAATAAGCCTTGTCCTCAGGGACAACCTACACAAATACTTTGACAGGACAGGCCTGGGAACTAACATTAATAACTTTCCTGGACACTGAAAACCATAAACTAAATACAGGCAGAAGTTCTGTGCCTCATTACAATTTATTTCCTTCCTCATCTAACCTCTCTTTGCTCCACAGGTGGTAACTACCCTCTTCTGTTACGAATGGTCTTCTACAGCAGTGCTGCTCAAGCTTTTGGCCACATGGGCCTGACTGGGCCCTGTGCTCCACCTGGTTTCATGCCCAGATACGGTCCAAAGCAGCTTCAGCTGGCTGTCATATGCTGGGATCAGGCCCTGTGCTGCATCTGATATAGCAGGCAAGGCCCAGGGCTCCCCACAGGTCTGTAAATACGGCAGTTGGGAATCAGTGCCATTATTCCCCTGCCAACAAATTTTTGGACCTGTGGGATACCCCGCAGGCCAGATGACATGGCACTGGGGGTTAGATCTGGCCTGCAGGCCAGGGCTGCTGAGCACCTTATACAGTATTAGGTTCTCTATTTCAAATTCCATTTAGGAAGTCTATAGCTACTTCTGCTGGCTCTTTTTCACTCTACTATTTCATTGCCTCCTTGTTTGTTTGTTTTTTATATAAAGGGACCACTTTCAAGTTACATTAGTTAACCTGGTATTTAGCTCAAGTTTTATTTGCTTTTTTCCCAGATCGAAGGAAGGATTTTCAGTGCCTGAAAGCTTGTCTATTCTCTCTCCTAACTATATAGTTGGTCCAATAAAAGATACCAGATACTACCAAAGCCCCTTGCTTCTTACATATATAATAAGACACCTGAGCCTGAGTTTTGGTTTCAAAGTTAAATGTCTGAAGAAGTCTGAGAACGAAAGTGTCTCAACACGCACCTATGAACAGCAGTATCTACACCTTAAAGCCAACATATTTTTAAAGCTAGTTTTACTTTCTCCCAGAGAGTGAAGACTGGCACCACTTGACCAGCATTTGCTATTAAAGATCCAGCACTGTTTTCCCTCCTCTTCAGCTTCATAATGAGAAAATAATCTACAATTCCAAAGCATTATTCTTCAAAAGTTCTTAATGCTACAGATAGTAACATACTGTGGGCTAATTTATGGGAGATTATTTGATAAAGCATCATTGTACTGTTGTATAGCTGTTTCTGCCACTTTCTGTTGATTATATGATGTCTGAAGGGAATAGAAGGGACAAAGACAGCAGCCTGGTAGTTCAAACATTTTTTCTTTAGCCAAACTTATGTCCTCTCTGACATAAACTGCAGCCTCTTGATGAATTCTGTAATGGTGTACAAGTATTGGTAGACTACCAACATTTTTTAACGTTATGACTCCCAAACCAATGCAATAGGTTAACTGAAAAGGTGTAAGAGATTCAAATAGAGTCTATCTATTTTTTAAATTTAGAACAGCAGAAATATTTTAATATTATAGCCTTAAAACTTGCTCCTGCCCATGCTCTGCTGAGAGAATTCCTATGGCAGACAATAGATATAAACCTACATACAACAATAGCTGGATTAGAATAACAATTTAAGTCTTGGAAATAGTAAGAAAATAGAGATTTGACTACCATTATATAATCTTTCTCGACTACCTAAAGAGACTGCTTTTTTCTTTTAAGACTTTAGTGAAATATCTCATTTTGTCATGTTAACTACTCAAACATCCATGAAGCTAAATATTTAACCAGACAACTTTTACCTTAAATATATTATTACATTTTAGTGGAACAAGAACAAAGCAAGTAGCTTTCAACCCAGACTGCGAATAGTATTAGTTTAAGATGCCATGCTTGCAAGGAACAGGATCATGGAAAGATCCTGCACAAGCTCCAGTTGTGGGTTTTTTTTGTTTGTTTCGTTTTTTTGCAGATGGAATTGTTTGCAACCTATCTGCACCCGAAACCATGTGGGTAACAGTGTCTTCTGGTATTACTGTATTTGCAAGTAGCTCTTTTAATTAACATAAATCTAGCAATTTGTCATAGAAATAAAGTTAGAACATCAACTTGTATACATAGAAGCTTTATACTCATGAACACATTTCAAATTTTAAAATCAGTTTTATACATCTCTTCATGCTGCTCTACTGAGAGAGACTTTTAGAAACAATTTTAAAATATTGATGGGTTCTGTAGCCAAGAATGCTGTGACCAAGCCAGAATGATCAAGATTTTTTCTTCTTTTTATTGTATTACCTGCAAAAGTCTGAACTACAGCCAGGCACAAAAAAGTAGCACCAACAGCTTTCTGAAACTATCAGTGTTTTTTAACGACCTAATGGCTAAGATACAGTTGCCTTCAGTGCAACCATATTATTACTGCTAAAGCATTTCTAATCGAAAGGTGAAGGAAGAGGAAATTGTGTAATAAAATCAAAATCTTACGTTACAAAGATTGAAGCGGGTTTCTAAGGAAGCCTTGGTTAAACTGCTTCTAAAATTTTGCCCAGTTAACTGGCAATATAAACCCTGATAAGTGATGGACCATTTTTAAGTGTTATTGCTAAACCCTGGCTAGTTAACTTCTTCAGACAGGACCCATATCTTTGTCTGCAGTGTCTGCACAACAATGCCCTGATATCATTCAGGGACATTCTTAATAAAACCTGACTAATGATTAGCTTTTTTTCCTGCTAGCTCCAAGATATTGTAACTCAAGAATGTTACAATATGAAAATACGGCAGTTACTGTGTGAGAAAATACATATTAAACACACAGTAAACTTTCTATTCAGTCCAGTTCTTACTTGCAAAGTAGTTGGTAATATGGAAATAAAGGAACTCCTGAGGGTGTGTTTGACCATTTATCCTTTTTAGACTTGAAAATAAAATAAGAAGGAAATAGGCTAAAATGTTGCAAAAATATTAATGCATTAACAGATTATGCTACAAGCTGTGGAAAAAAGCTGGATCATCATCCTGCCAAGCAGAACTGCAAAAAAACCCAAAAACCAAAATAGAAATTAAGCACTGATCCTGGCACATTCACAGAATTATTTTGTAGTAACACTTGAGAATCCTCAAATAGAATATTTAAGAAAACATCTTCCTTAAAGAATGTTTCTGAAAATTTCAGATGCCATGCACATCTCAGAATGTCACATCAATCACTGAAAACTAGTAAGTGGCTAGGGAAATTTAAGTCATTAAAGGATCAGTACAAATTTCTTGACTTAAGGATTTTTCAATAAGCCTTAAATGGGTTTATGCCAAACGCATTACTATAAACCTACCATACTGTAGGTCCCCTAAAGACTAAAACTGATTCCTCAAGTAACAAATGAACTATATATTTTAAAAGCGTTTCAAATAGTAAAGGAAAACAATGTTCTATTGCTTGAATTTGGTTTGCAATTACCTACTTCTGATTATATGCAACATTTACAATGAAGACAGAAGCAATTATCTGTAAAACAGGTCTTCCCACTTTTAACTGTAGAATCAATGACTTCCTTTTCTCTATTTTAATAGACTGCCTATGATTATGTAGAACCCCCAAATCCTTCTATGTTTAAGATTAGCAAAGTGTCATCATTTTTTGGTTTCATAACAAATTTGGTTTAATTATAAATCTAAACAAATGCCCGAGGAAAAAAATATTCAATAGATTTAGTAAAAGTCTATATGGAAAGAGCTATCAAACACTATATTTCCATGTCATTTTAGGTCAATACATGAAAAACTGCTAAGGAACCTGATTGACAATGATCTTTGTAAAATTTAGACAAACTAGTCATTATCCTATAATATCTGGGTACTTGAATTCTCTCGTTTTAGAAATAATCATAATAATACTTTTCTTTAACATGAGTATTGAAGCTATGGCAAACAGATGGACCTACAGTAGCAGTTAGTCTTGCTGAATGCTAATGGGCATCTTAAGCATAAGAGGAATTATTAAGATACCATGCAGTTTTACTGAACTCACCTGACAGAGGTGTAAAACCATTCTCTAGGAGCAGAGATGCATGCACAAAAGTAAGAATGTGATTGCAAGTAACAGACTTCCATGTAATAAAGACAACATCTCAAAATGAGCACAGCAACATGATGAAAAGCAAACAAAAATGTGTTTGGTTTCCTCACCTCTCGTTTTGCAAGCAGTACGTTAGGAACAATGTGGGGCAGACAACGTCCCAGCATTAACATGACACTTTTTTCACTGTCGGCGATCCGGGACACCTAGAAATCCATTTTTTTTTAAATGAGACACAGTGACAACAATGTGACTTTTTTAGTTTATTATGGTGCTTTTCAGAAGAATGTTTGACCACATGCCAGAGAACAATTTTATTTTTTCCTGCACAAATCAGCACTTTTGGAACCAGCATGAAGCTTCCATGCCAACTCTAAAGGCACAGAAATGCATGTGCAAGAAACTGAATACTTCTCAAGAACTATAAAAAACCACCACTAGTAATTAGGTCATATTTCTGCTCAAAGACTATTACCCAATATTTAGTCCAAATCTCAAATAAGGAAACATTATTTTTTAAATACTCATCTATAGGATTCATTTAAGAAATAAATGTACATACCAAGCTTTGGAAAAAGCCAGAATTATTGCTGCATTAGTGACTGCCATTAGATAGACAACATACCCTTTTTGATTCTACGACAATTAGAAAATATACCTCGGATCCCAAACGGCTGTCTGCTGACATCCGACAGAAAGATAGTAGTGCTTGATGGAAAGCTGGTGACAACTTCCTGAAATAGTATCAAGAGAGGGGAAAAAAGTATCAGTCAAAGGTGACTAATGGAAGCTTGCTTAGCCCCTCAGTTTTAGTTAACTAAGTGACATCTGAAAGTGCATTTGGGCACCTGCTGAAATTAATGTTGACCTACATTTTACAATGTTGTAAATGAAATTTAAAAAGTATTAAGATTTTTTAAAATCAAATTGTCACTTTGAGGTGCATAAGAAGTGATTGCCCTAATTAACAAGTTATTTCTAGAGCTTTCACATTCCTGAAGCCACCAAATGCATAGATAAAAATGAGATTAGAGTGTGAAAAAAAGGGAAACCGGTAACTCGAGAAGCATAGGATCATACAATCTCCATAACCTGACAAAAGTATTTTTGCTCATTTTCTGATGTTTATTCCCAGCCCAGCAATTTTCCACTTTGCTGTTTAAGTAGGTGCATCAGACCCATCAGTGAATTACCCTTCTCCACCATTAAGTTTCAGTCTTAGACTTCATTAGTTATAAAAAAATTACAATTTCTGATTGCAGATCTCTTTTAGCATAACTTTTAAAGGGAAGAAATGTAAGATTAGCATGAGAGGAGCTGCTGACATGGAGGTGAGCAGGCAAGATGGCTGCCGCCCTCACCCCTGACTGGCTGGGAGGGCTGGCCAACATGTGGTCCTGCCTCTCTTCTCCAAGTAGTGGAAAGAGGTGGGGGTCACATGATTGACAGCCCTTTCCACCAATCAGCAAGGGGGGGTGTCCACTGGGACCCCCCTCAGCCAGAGGTGTGGTGGGAGCCCTACCACGATAAGCCCTTGAAAGTTGCAGCCGGCCCCATGATCTGCCTGTGAAATTGGTTGGCTGCTGCCTCAAGTTGGGTAGATCTCTACTTACAGAGTACTGATACCTCATGACAAATTAACTTGTGTATTTACGACGGTGTTTCAGAAACTAATGGCAATTGCAAAATAAAACTAATTTTACGTGCAACAATCATTTACTGGGCTACATGAATTCTCCACACAGTTGTGCTGGTTTGTAACACAGGTATTGCAGTGAGTCACAAGTTTCTTGAAACTGTCCTCAAAGCAGCTTTTTTCTATTTCTGTGACAATTTTCCTAAACTGAGAGTTGCATTGCTACATCATGGGCAAATCTACATGTGTTACTTTGAATTTTAACTGGAGTTGAGAGAGAGAGAGAGAGAGAGAGAGAGAGAGACTTATGACCAGTGTGACTATTCCAGTCAACTCAAAAACTTTATTAGGATTCACAACAGCAGAGACTTATTTGTATTACTAAATACAGTGCTTATGTAGCTTGGATTCAAGGGAAAAACAAGTCTACTGGACAGGCTTCTCTATTCCCTTACGGACTTTCGCTGACTTGGTTCCTCTTTTTTGCTGAACTTCGGAGAAGTCCGAAGGTCACATGGTTTAACTATGATTAAATACTTTACACAGAGTTTTCCATATTTTGTTATAGCTTTGGATCAATACCAATCCTTTTCCATTTCCTTGGATTATGTGAATGCACCCTATAAGTGTCTACAGTGCATGCTTTAACTTTTGTCATTGCTAGATAGATCAAGCTTAGGTCAGTCATTCTTAATTTACATCACTGCTACATAGATCAAGCTTAGGTCAGGTCATGACATGGCCTGTTACCCATGGGCCATGCTCCACACTGCCAACAGTGCCCATGAAGAGCCTCTTTCAACAATTCAAACAGGTAATTATCACTTGGCACAAGATTGGGACTATAGGGCAGATGTGGTAAGATTTCAAACCTCAATCCATGCAAAGTCTCAACAGACACTTGTGCACTGTGTGGTCTTGCGCTACCATGCTGGAAAAGAACACCTTGCTTTAGCTTTCCATGCTATTTGGTCTGAATAGCTGGCTTCAGGTAGCTTTGGAGAATGGGGCAGTAAGTTTTGCTGTTGATCATGACCAAATGCTCCATTTAGGGACAAAAAGTGGTCCCAAGCAATCCCAAAATGGGATGAGCAAGGTCTTTCCAAAGGATGGTCAACTTTGGAATTTTTTGGCAGTGGTGATGATGTAAATTTTCACTGAATATTTTGCCTTTTGTAATCATAATGGTAGACCCAGGTCTCACCCCCAGTGATGATGCCAAGAGTAACCCCTCACCTTTGTCCTGTACATGTTGCAGGAGCTGGATACAGTTCCACATGTTATTATGTGCATCTAATAAGCTGCTTTGGCACCCAATGGGTGCACACTTTGCAGTAATTCAGGTGATCTTGTTAAATGGCATGAATACTGCTAGCACTTCCGCCGGTAGTTCAAGAATGCTTGCTCGCTTGTTCACATACACAACAGCACTGACTTTGGCAACATCTTCTCTATCATGGCTGTGTTGGGGCATCCCTTCCTGGGTTCATCCACTACAGACATGTGGCCGATTTTGAACTTCTCCATCTGCCCATGGATCTTCTATTGAGCGATGAAGTTTTGCCATACTGTGCCACAAGCCTATGGTGAATTTCACCAGGTGACATATCCTTGGCCCACAAAAAAACAAGTGATAGAAAGCTGTTCTTCTTTGGTGCACACTGAAAGCTATGCAGCCATGCATCATTTACTTGCTCCCTAGTGCATCAGACCTGTGTTTAGTGCAAAACAATGGGTGTGCTTGGCAATGTTGCTATTAGTGTTTGCTGCTGCTGTGCAATTTCCCACTTTGTCACAGACACAGTGTGAGCAGTCATTTTGCTGTCAGTTTCTGAAACACCCTTATACATTTGGTGTAGTATAGAAAACATTTCTATAATAAGCTTTTCTGATTACTAGTAGCACTTTGAGTAGTTGGCCCACTGAAGTTACAGGGGACCACTTGTGGGAAGAGAATGCAGGCTGAGCCCTTGTTCAGAAAATGTCATTAAGTGAATGGGTGAATGATGTTCCATGATGTTTGTGGCCAATGACCAGGGGTGAATCCACAGGGGGTGAGGCAGCATAGTTGCACCCCACTTTGGCCGGTTTGCATGTGAGATCTCCGGGATGGGGCCAGAACTCCTGATTTTGTGAGGCTCCAGAGCCCAGGTGGTGAGTGCTGTTCCTGTTGTTGCTTATCCCCTCCTTTCCCTTGCTGCTGAATTCATCAGGGACAGGCAAACAGCAGCAGTATTCACCCCTGCAGGCTCCAGAGCCAGTGAAAGCAGAGACTCCAGTCAACCCTACTCTGATCAACTGGTCAGCATGTGTGGCACAGCCGAAGTAGTGGGGCGGCACACTGTTGCCCCACTCCTGATCTGCTTTGGCCTATGCAGAAATGAATGAAGTTAGTTATGGATGCAATATCACTTACCCTACATGCTGAGGTAACAGTGTCTTTAATTTGGGGCTAATCTATGCTACCCAAACCCCCCCCAAAACAAAATGCTAAGACCTGACCTGTTGCTCCAGTCACAGGAAGTTCAGAATATCACCAATACCACCCACTAGGACAACAATGTTCTTTATAAAGACAGGTAAGTCTGAGAAAATTGCTAATCCAAAAGGTGAAGTTTGTTAAATATGAAGTGATCCCATTGATAAATCATCTTTGACGCTTCTGGCTAAGGAAGGTGAATAATTTAGTTTCCTGAAATCCAAGAGATTTGAAATGTTCCTGGAAAAGTTACAGATATAGCACAACCACTCTGTGACAGTCCTGAAATTCCACTAAGGCACGTGTCATTTAAAAAACTCAGAACTACTCCAGTATTATCTACAGTCTCTGGTACCATGGAAATAACCAAGTATAATGAATGAATGGTTATAATGACTTTAAAAACAGGCTGTTAATATCATTTGATGAGGGGCTGCTTCTACAAGGTTTTGCTAAAGAATGTTACACTGAATTTTGAATTTAATAATTTTTCTATAGAAGAGGCTGTTAACTAAAAGTTATTCTGCCTGCTAGAGAAACAGTCTTCCACAAATAGCTTTTTATATGTGAATGTTTAATTACATAAAAACTGATAACAACCTTTATATTACAGCATCACAGAGTTTATGATGTAGTTGAGATAAATATTAATACATTTTAAATCAGTCATACAGAGGTCATCATTTTATGTAGGATGGCTACATTTATTCAAATTAAATACACTTGTTTAAAAAAACCCAGTTATTTATGATTATGAGCAGCTCCTGGTTTAACTATTTGCTTGTCTTTATTCTGTGCAAGTAAAACTATATTAGTATCAAAAGAGATTTTAGATTTTAAGGCCTAGTTGATTGCAGTCTGTAAATACATTTTTTTTTCAGGTTCATTAAGTTTTGAAAGAATATTTCCTACCAATAGAATCAAGTATATGAAACTGGATCCTTATATAGTGGTCATTTTAGACATTTTATAATATATTAAATCTCATATCCTCTTGAAACGCTTTTAAAATTAAAGCCAAAAGTATATCCCTATTTCATAGAATTTGAGAAGTCACTAAGTGTAACTATGTGCTGTTCTATTTCCCCATTGCTTAAATTAAAATAGCAGTATGAAAATAAGCTCCAGGCAAACAGTTATTACAGTTGGACTATATTTAGATTCTAAAATCTTATCAAATCCAGTAGCTTCCTTGAAAGATATAATGAGACAATTAGCTTTGTCTTCATGTACAGAGAGATGAACAGAACAAAAGACTGTCACATCAAAAAGAAAAACTATCACATCTCAAAAATATATGCACTAGCACATACAAGCCAGTTTGCTTACAAGGACAAAAGTAACTGGATCATACAGAAAGCATCACATCTTGGAGAATTAATTCAGACTATTGAACACAAAGTGCATCATTATTTAAATTTAATGCATCCAACACTAATTTTCAGTTTGTTTTATTTTTAACTGTCACACAAAGTATTTTTCCCAATTACTCTCTAAGTCCAAGGTCTGATGATTTCTCTTCCTCTCCCCTATTCCCCTCCTTGCTGACTGTAGTCATACAAAGTCAGCCCACTGGCTTTCATTCTCTGAAAATCTCCCATCTGGGCAAGATGTGCCAAGCATCCCCTTCGTAGTTATAGTATTTAGGGTCATTCCTTTTAATACTGAATTTTCTCTGTGTTTTTAATATGGCATGAAAATGGGTTGCATCTTCAACTCAATTCCTTCAGTCAGTGAAAAAATATCTAAGAGGTCATATAGCATTTCAGCATGTAACGTGACAATGTTTTATTCAAATGATACTGCAAGATAAGTTAAAACTCCTAACACAATCGTAAAAATCTGGAAGTATTAAGCTATAAAGTCTCAGACATGCTCCTATTACTTTTCTCTTGAGTCTTACTACACCTCAGGTTTCTTACTACACTTAACTGTCAATTCAGCATAAAGATACTTAAGCATTATATGTTCAGCAGTTAACTGATTTTATGTTTGCATAGCTGAGCTTTCTCCAAATGTTTGAAAGATAGCACCTAATAATAGCTCTTGTTCATGAAAGCTTATGCATCTGTAATTTAGTAAGCCTCCAAGACACATCTCTACCCTGCCTAATGATGGAAAAAAATTGCTTTTTCTTCCCACCAGCAGGGGTGTGAGCTTTTCCACACACTGGCAGTGGAGGAGCAATCAGTAGGATCATTCCTTATATCCAATACCTTATGCTAGTACATAGTATTCAGACTGTTAAATCGATCCAGTAGCCAGAAGTCACCACAGTTCGATGAAATCCATCACAGAACAAAGGCACTCATTAGTTAGTTTCGTGTAAACACTAATACTGAATTAACAGAAAGCAATGAGCTTTCCCCTTTAGCCACTAAGCTATGGTAGGATTTGAAATAAACATGTTTACCATTTATCTTCAACTTCTGGAAAATCAGCATTTGAACTTTCGGTGTTAGTTTCTAACTGACTAAAACTTGGTATTTAAAAATGTCTGCCATTTACTATCATCAGATTTTTTTTAAAAACACTGAAAAATCTGACTGGTGAGCAGGCAAAAAGCAAATAGCCAATTTTAAATTAGACCAGACATTCTGCTTCTGTCATGAAAAGTTAAGTGTTACCTCTGACTGTAAATTACTGTCAGGTATAAAATCAAAGTACAACGTAGGCCCTGTTTCAGCAACAAATTTAACTTCAGGGCTCTACTCTGTCCAACAGGGTTACATGTACAGCATTCACCCAAATCTAAGATGACTCTGAATTTAAGAGGACCCCTCCACAGTTAGATTCTAAACATGGAAAAACTATAAATTAGTTATACTTTGCCATGAACAGAATCTAATTATTGAAGGATTGTCTTAAATTCATCTCCCCCACTGCTATAGTGGGGCAAGCACTAGCAGCAGGTGCAGGTGAGCCAAGTGGCCCAACTCCTGCTCCTTGCTGCACCCCCCCACTGCCTGCCCCCCCCCCCACTGCCCACATGCCTCATGCCTGCCCTCCCCTTGACACCTGTTCCCTCCCATACCACTTTACCTGCTATCCTCATTTGCCTGTGTCCCCACTGTTACCTGTTTGCAAGACCCTTCCAGTTACCTTCCCATTGCAGTTCTGGCTCTGGTGAGGTCCCACTCCGACTGGGGGCAGGGAGCATGGAGCACATTTTTACTTGAATTACCTAAGCTAAGGGTCATCCCCATACCTGCCCCATGTTGAAGGGGAAAAAAGCTTTGGATTTGACTAAATATTCATTTAAGGCATTGCCTCACTAGCACTCATTAAAGAACTGGGGCCTAAGTAAAGACTACAGCTCATCTCAGTCCCTCTTTATATACTCACATTAGCTTTAGCTTCCTTTGTTATTTTCACTAGTAATGTCTAGTATACAATTTAGTATAAGCTTACATTTTGAAGAAAAATGCATTATTAATTGAATATCTAGGACTCCAGAGTTAGTCAAAATATAGAATAACAATTTTATAAATAAACAAACTTTAGGAATAAAATAGGCTTGTTTCCCAGGATCCAAACAGAGGAACACCTGTGTAAGCTTCACTTAAAAAAAACCCCAAACCAAACAGATTCCTCCTGTTTTGGTTTTATTTTTGCCAAATTGAGAGATGAACAGTGTCTAGAGCTGTCCACATTGTTAATTTTTGTCTTTTCCAAAAATTAGCTTCCATTTTTTCAAAACTCCTTCACTCATTTTCAGCTGTTCTTCCATGAAAACCAGAAAGTAACTAAATTTTGAATATTCAATGCACCTGTTAATAGCCTCTTCAGATAGAAACTGATTTCAGAATAGGATATTTCTTATTGGTTACTACTAGAAAAGCTGGAATTGTTTTTTGCACTGGAATTGGTTACTACTGGAAAACCAAAATAGACCAAATACCTGTCCATAGAGAGAACAAACATAAGGCAATCTGGTCACTGATATCTTTGTATAAAATCAGTAAGTTCAGAAGTTGAGTACATTCTTACTATGACTTTTTTCAAACCTACACAGCAAATCATTTTTTCTTTGCAACATACTTCATCCCAGTACAACGTTTAAAAGAATCTATATGTAGGTGATTAAATACATTAATCAGAATCATAGAAAATTAGGATTGGAAGGGACCTCAGGAGGTCATCTAGTTCAACCCCCTACTCAAGGACATTTTTAAAAAGAAAAATCCCTGATTAGATCAGCTGTGGGACAAACTAGTTGAGAAGAGGCACAAAAAATAACTTACTTCAAGAAACCCAAAACAACTTGCTTAACAGAGGTGTAGGTTGTAGCCATGTTGGTCTAAGGACATTGAACCTTGTCTACCTTGCTTAACAGAGACATTCATGACATGAAGAATCTTAAGGCAAGGATAAAGAGCCATCAGGGACTTTTTCTCACTGAAGACAAGTTAAATGCATGGCAGCACAACAAGTGTAGAGACAAGTTGTTTAACATCCTATTAGATAGTCACTTCCTAAAACCACAATTTACCCATTACCTGCTGATAATAGTAGCACACACAAACACCATGTCTAACTACACAGCTGTATTTAATCCCACCTAGGATAATGCTTTGGCTTACTAATGAACACATGCCCAAAATCTGAACTCCAACAGCTGGGAGTTACTAAAGATTTATCATGTTTAAGGTACAGTATCTTTAACCGAAGTGGTTCACATTTGTGTCTCCACTCTTAAATAGAAATATCTAACATCTCAGCATCTCCATTGAAGACAAAAAAAAAAATTAAAAAAAAAAAAAATCAGATTTTATAAACTGAAATAAGAATTGAAATATCCCTTGCTATTGAAATATCCCTATTCACTACTTTGTTATTGTTGTTTTCTACCTGTAAGGGTCAGAAAAAAAACAAACCAGAATTTAGAAGTGGACAGAAAGAAAGAAAATATTCTTAGTGTCTGATGTTAAAAGCAAAAGAAAGATAATTATATAACCCCTAAAACTTAAGCTGTAAAATATCTCCAAAGTTGCTATTATACTTGAAGGAACTTAAAAATTAAAAAATTAGAATAAAAAAAAAAATACAATTAAAGAACCCATTACACTGTGTCACTAGAAATGAGTCTCCCTCCCCACTGTGCAAGGAACAGAGTTGAAGTATTTGCTTACAACTCTGATTACTTACCTATTAGGTTTATCAAAATGTATTGCAGCTTTACTTGATGGACTGCAAGAGGGCATTTTCTCTTTACTGGGGAGGGAGTTTAGTGCATCATCTTTAGAAGTCCTTGACTCTTCTTCAGTTGATACAGAAAGGCTTAATTCTTCAGTTTTTCCAAGCTTGTCATCATTTTCTGAACTCTTGATATCTAAGTACTGTCCATTGTCCTCTAGTACTGTGAGAGGCACTTGGTCTAATGAGGGCTGAACAACATCATAAACCACTGGAACAGCAAAGTCTCTCTTGAAAAAGTCTATTTCACTGAAAAAAACCCAAAACATTCCATTATATTATCTGCAGCTTTTTCAGGAACAGATCACAAATGTCAGAGATGAAAAATATAGTAGGCTTGGTTTTATTCTTTTCTTATCTTCAATATGTCCGGCAATTTCAGCAATGTTACCTTATGTCATCATCTGAAAACTCTAGTTTGATACAATCCTTACTCTTTCACAGCAATCTACCTGTATAGCTGTGCTTAAAAGAAGACTCAGCTTTCTGTGCTGTGGCTTAGCCCCAGGGATTCAACAGGCACAGGGACTGAAGTATAAAATTTAAGATGCTTAAAGCTATAAATCATTTATGGTTTTCACCCAATATAAAATAGTATCTATACACTTTGAAAGTGATTGAGAAGACAATTTCATAACTATGAAATTATTGCAGGTATTGCTGCTCTTTCCAAAGATGCAGTTTGTAATTTAGAGGAAGACTTTGAAAATGGGTACAAAAAATGGAATTTTATAAAAACTAGCTTTTAAAACTGCTAGAAGAAATGTATATGCACACACACACATGCACGTGCACATAGACAGCTGTTAAAATTAAACACCCTTCCTGCAACATTTGCAAATCAAACAGTACAACTGAGGTATTGGGAAGGTGGGGGGGGAGCAATGATAGAAATAAAACAGGAAATGGCAATTGGGTGAAGATTTTCATCATTTCTAAACTGAGAGGAATGTAAATACAAGCTAAATTAACAGGAAACGACAGAGTTTTCTTTTAATTCTTTCTATTTTTACTACATAAATTGGACAATCAACTTATTTAAAAGTTTATTATTTTGAGAATATCCTTTTTAATTTTCTGTAGTTGCTAAATTAAATAGGTCAGTTTAAAATTACATACCAGGAATTGCCTCAATTTGACATCTTCTCTTAATCCAATTCCATATAGTAAAGGTAAGCTTTCTATCAATTCTCTAAAGAATCTCCAGTGGTTTTATAGGTACTGTATATGCTTTTTATAAAGTGCTGCAGGACAGGGTTCTTGCAACGTACATGAACATTTAAACAAGTTAATATAGTAATACATACCTCTCAAGTCTTCGAATTTGTTCCATCAAAGACCACTTCTCACTGTTTAATGCACTGATTTGATCCTCTAATTTCTGTACAGCTAAGCATTGCTAGATGCAAGACAAGGAAAATAATTTAGGACAATGAAATTAAGACAAAACAAAAACCTGCAAAAACTTAAGTGCAGTCTCTTACTTCTATTGATTGGGTTGTATCAAACACAGGAATGTTCCCCAGAACAGGTGTGGTGACTTCCAATTCATCCTCTTCTACACCAACTGCTACATCGACAACATTTTTTGCTGTTACTTGATGGTTTCCAAAGTCACGATATAGCTGTAACAAGTCTGGAGGTTTTGGAATGTTCAATCCTACATCATCCCACAGTTCAAAATCCTTGAAAAGGGTAAAAATAATGTCAGAAGTCTAGCACATTTCTTTTCTTTTTCTAGCACATCTTCTGCTTTTTCCTTGCTTGATTACATGCAAAGACATTTATGTCAAAATGTCAAGGTAACCATGGAAATAATAGGTATGCAGCTTGTGCCCAAATCAAACAAAAAAGAAAAAAAGACAGCCAAAACTATTTTGGGACAGAGCATTTCAATTGAAAGACATTTCTAGGTTGTGCATAAAAAGAGAAAGCATTCCAAAATGGTAGAAGTTTGTACTCGTTTTTTAAAGTCTTATACATTTAGTAAATTGTGGGGAAAATTTTCAGCAGAAAACAGGCAGGGTTTTTTCAGCTCAAGTTTTAAAAAAAGTTTTATTCCTCTCTTGCTCACAAATGCAGACCTAACTTTTCAGAAAGAAAAGACAAGACACTGGGGGTTAACCTTTTGGCAGGCATGCCACAAGTTAGGCCTGCAACCTCCCGGAATGCCACTCTGATTCCTTTCCCTTACCTTATCTTGTCGTTCAGCTTTTTGCTTCCTGCCCTATGTGCCACCATGCTGCCTGTCCCCTCCCCAATTTGTCAAATGCCATACACAGAGGCTGCCTTGTGTTACTTGTTACGGTCAGAACAGCAACCTCTGCTCTACGTGCACACTGATGATCACCTCCCAAGCTTGTTATCTGCATGCATGCACACACGAACAACTGGGCACATAAACAGTCAGTGTACATTTTGAAACTGTGGGGCCCTGGCACATGTACACTTATTGTGTGATTAACATATCAATTATATAATCGATTGTAACACGGCATACATTCAGCCAATTTATGGCATGATAAAATAGCAAATTAGCCATAAAGATTTTCCATAAAGGTGCTGTGGTTGATTTGTATTTCACTTTAATTTGAACATGCGGCATGCAGCCCAGCACTGGGCTGCACAAGGTGGCCTTTAAAACATCCTTTTGGTGGGGAGCTGATGGGCTCCCCTCCCCAGCATGGGGACATTTAAATCCAGGCTGTACAGCCAAACAACAGATTGAAGTGCATCGTGTGTGCAGTCAGGTGCAAGTGAGTTGTGAGTCAGGGATACCGACAGACATGAGATGGGATCAAGTTTCTTTGATCCCATCACAAGGATTAAATTAACAGCTGTAAGAGGCCTCAGTTATAAGTGATATAATAATGGTCCTATCACCCCAAAAACTCCATTTTCTTCCTTGAATATTTTGCATATCTGCATTTCCGCTAACAACTTTGTTAGGAATCTCTGTATACAGATTTCATGCACTTATTTTACTCCCTCTCTCTGGTAAGCATGCATCATGGATGCGTGCAGACACACACACAACTGTAGAAGTATCATCACTAAAAGCAACAAATTTACCTTAAAAAAAAATTAAATATTAATAATTCTGTGCAATTCTTTTCCACTTCAGATCTTTTTTTCTCCCAACGGTAGTAATATGAGATTTCACTTTTTTAGTGTCTGGAGAGAGATTCCCCGTTTGTGTGCAGTGGTAAGACTAGCAAATAATCTGGGACTAGCAAATAATCTGGGACTATTTTTGGCATATTGCATAAAAATGTTCCCTATTTTAATCTGTACTATTAAGGCCATGAACAAACAGCGGGGCAGCATACAAGGCAGCAGCATGCACCACCCTAAACCAGAGCCTGGCCAGTCGGAGCAACAGTCCAGCTGCTGGCTAGGCTCCCAGATACAGAAGTGCTGTAGTTGCAGCTTCCCCGGCCCCCAAGTAAAGCTGCTGAGTCCAGCACAGTTGCTGGCCCTAGCCTCCCCTATGTCACCCAGGGTAACCTCCTGCACACCAGAGCACACATATTCCCCAGGAACAAGTAGCAGCAGCAGCAGCAGGTGTGCCACTGCTACCTGTCCCCAGGGAACCAAACATCCATGCTTGTCTGGACATGGCCAGTGTGTGTGCATGAGTGCTAGGGGAGCTGCAGTTGTGCTATATGTTGGGTGGAGTGGATGGGCAGACTGTCAGTGAGCTGCCAGTAAGCAGAGCAGTACAGTATCACTGGCTGGGCTGGACAGCATGTTGCTGAATATCTTTGTGACAACTTTGTAGCATTGCAGTCAGGGAGCTCTGCACCTCTGTATCTTCCTGAGGCCTTACATTTTTGTGGTGGTCTAAAGCGGGGAGGCACTTAGTGCTATACAAATGTAACTTATGTCCATGGACTAAGTAATCTAACTTTTCCTGCAGTGTTCCACTTACGAACAAAAATGAATTCTATGTATCATTGCTATTATTTTGCTCACCCATTAATTAGAAGGTAAACAGAGCATTGTTATGACTTTAGGGGTAAATTTACTAAATGGAAACAGGCCAAGACATAAGAACATGGCAGAAACTGTGGAAAAGTGTTACAGTACTTCTTTGAAAAGTGAATAAATAAAATAAGTTCCTACTCATTGGAACTCTGGGAGTGTATTCAACATCCGCATATTTGTCTGGGCTGTCCAACTGGCAGCCCCTATGTACCTTGTAAGGGGTTAAAGTGCTCCTGCCTGGCAGATCCTTCAGCATCCAGGTTTTCCAGGCTCCCCATCCCTGATCTGGTTTCTGCTTCTTGCACCACCTCCTGGGGGTGGGAGAGCGTAGGAAGGGGCTGGGCTGCCTGTGCTGTGTGTGTGGCAGGGGTGGGGCTAGGATACCTGTGTGACTGGAGATGGGAGGGTTGCTGGGTTGCTTGAGGCATTGAGAGAGGGGAGGGTCAGGGCTAACCCTGTTGCCAGTGGCCCCAGGTCTGCAGCCTGCACCATGTGGGTCTCCTGGCTGCCCATAAATTGGACCACCCTGGCTTATGTTAAAAACTTTTGATTCCAGATACCCCTATAAAGCCAATATTGCTATACAGGACACAAGCTTGATGGTCTTCCTTCATGAGCAAAGAACTGTACTCTAGTGTAATTTATTAGAACTTGGCATCAGAAAAAACTCTCAAGGCATAACCTGATCTGCAAAAATTATATTACTTCTAGCTACAAGTGAGAAGCAGAGTCCAAGCATGCGTTAAAAGT